AAACTTGTGGAGGAATATTTGAAAATAAAAATTTCAAAAATTTCCTTGAATTAATCACGTAAAGAGATTTAAGAGATCTCTGTTCTAAAAAGTGGAGCAGGTTGGCTGTGGATTTCTTGGCGTTCGATGAAATCTTAACCATATTTAGTGTTGTGCTAGCTTGTCTAATCGGGATTGATTTTATCTGTAGCTTACCCTGTATCATTCCAATCCTTTATGCTTTCGCGGACCAGGTATTTGTTACACACACACACGAACATGAGAGATATATATATATATATATATATATATATATATATATATATATATATATATATATATATATATATATATATATATATATATATATATATATATATATATATATATATATATATATATATATATATATATATATATATATATATATATATATATATATATATATATATATATATATATATATATATATATATATATATATATATATATATATATATATATATATATATATATATATATATATATATATATATATATATATATATATATATATATATATATATATATATATATAATATTCCATGTTTCTGATCCTTCTATGTATCACGAATGTCACTGTTTAAATTGTTTCTATAAGTGCAATATAATTTCTGTTATCCTAATATGTCAAATTGCCTTTTCGAGTTTGTGTTTCCAAATTCAATATTCACTTCTTGATGCAAAAAGAACCCAATTTCACTGAACAAAGAACTGTTTGAAAGAATAAGCTTTTAAAACCTGTTATATGTTCATCCAGACAGGTGGTGCACTAATCTTGTGTGTACCACTTAGTTTCTTTTAGATATAAATTCACGCTGTACCGAATAATAGTTTTCCAATAAAAGCATATGATATTGTTTTTCTCATTTCGATATGAAGTGCTCCAACCTCGTTTTTTGTCATCAATAGGGGCTAAAAGCCTCTCAGCAGAAATTGGCCCGTTGAGAAAATCTATAATAATAAGTTAGAATAAGTCTTGACCCATGAGAAAGAAGGCCAATCCAGTAAAATATCACTGAATTTTGGTCACTATGCCATTTCTGTTTCTGGTTACAGGAATGCTGTATATGTCTTTGTGCGTACGAGGATGGGACTGAACTTCACGCGCTTCCGTGTAATCATCATTTCCATTCTACATGCATTGTGAAATGGCTCAAGATGAATGCCACATGCCCACTATGCAAGTACAACATTCTCAAGGGGAATGATCAAGTCTAAACGGAAAGCGATAAGAATCAGAAAAACTATCTGGTGATTCTGATATTTGCTTCTCGTTTTTTTTCTTTCGAAAATTGGGATATTATGGGGTGTTAGTGCTATAAATATGTTTTTCTCTATATTTTTATCGGATTGCGTCGAGAAGTTTCTGTAAATTTTACTCTCGGGAGACATTCTAGCTATTTTTCTGGTTGTTCATATTCAAAGTTCCTCCCCTTGTAAATGTTTGTGATTTCATTTCATTGTTCTTTTTGGTTCAGGTATAAAAGGAGATGGTTGAATATTTATATATTTATATGCATATATAAGGGTGATACTGATAACTCACCGTTTTTTTCGCCAGGATTTTTTTATGTTTTTGGAGTTTTTGGGCTGGGAAGTAGCATTAGAATAAGAAAAGAAATGACATTTTCTATGACCGGACTGATAATATGCTTAGAATTTGTTTGATTGGAAAAATGTTTATTACGTATGACATGCTCGAACTGGATATGCGTATATTCATGTCTTGTTACTTGTACGGTGTACCTGTGTTTTCGTGAAATTATTAGAAGTAATTCTAAAAACAAATGAGAATACATTGGAGGCATTTCTTCCCATCATGTACAAACTTGACATTTTGAAGCCAAAATTGGAGCATTGTTTTGTAGCACCAAATCAGAAGCTGAAAGCGATACCGCTTTCGTTTTTCAAAATTTGTTGTTTAATTAGTTTTATAATAACGGAAGACGAAATGTTCGTTTTCCAACAAATTTACTTCTATACCTTACAAATTTAATAGTCAAACAAATTCACAAGATATAGAACTTACAGTGAACTATTTCAATTACCTACAACGGCATACAAAAGAAGTTCTGCTGTTAAGTGTTAACCGATGCTTTCTGCTGCTCCTAACCAAGAAAGCTGTTTTCTTTCTTCTCACTAGTTCCTGATAACCGGCGAACAAACTCCGTATGCAACGAGTGCCCACCCTATTGTAAGTATACACAAGTGGTTCCATTAGTTACAAATACATCAACACTTCAATATTAACTTGTTTTAACGGTGAAACTTTTGCAAATTGGTTCTTCGTTTTGTCTAAACTTGGCCAAAAACACTATTAATTCAGAGGTAAAATCACGTATTTAATTCCTCGTTATTTTAATGGTTGGGTTAATTTTTTTTTTTTTTTATAAACTCAACTCAAAACGTCACCATACCAAAATAAAGATGCTAATTTACAGCATGTTCATACATCCCAAGAGTCGACACTTTTTGCATAAAACGTATTAACTTTTGCCTTCGAGATATAGTATTAATAATGATTGATTCTTAGGAGTCACAAACAAAAAGAGGGTATCACGATTCGTAATAAAGACGGTAAAAGAGAGAAAAGGGGCACACCTTATAAGCAACAATGTGAGCAACGAGAAGCCCTTGATTACCCTCTTGCGCCAAAAGGGAAAAATCACCAATAAGATCCAAGACCTTGTGTCTACAAGGCTCGTCGTCATAACGCAGAGGTGGATTCAACCATCCCTTACTCATGCTGCAAAGGCGCCCGCACACACATTCATTAGAGAGTGAGTTCTCAATCTCCGAAAACTACCTAAATTACCGAAGACTTCTTCTCATAAAACAAATTGTGAACTTAGTCAACCATTTTAAGATCCTTCCTTAAGTAAGTAACTCCGACAATATATCCATGTGGAAGAAAATAAGATAAGAAAATCAACATTTCTAACAGGTGCATCGCATTCTTTTCGACAAGCAAATAGAAATTAGTCAGTTAAGTCAAAATTATCTCTCACCTACACACTATGGCTGTTTCTGTCGAACCTCCTTTAATAAGTCCCAAGCTCCGCAAATGTTCCACCTGTAAAAGGAATCCTCATTTGGATTTCACCAGTAGAAATTCACAATGCCAATAATAACACATTAACTCCTGGCTCGGAATCGTATTTAGTTATGTTAAAAGGAAAAAAAAGTCCATGCCCGATCACTCAATAAGAAAGAAGATAAACTACTCAAACTACATTGAAACACAATAACTCATACTCAGAACAGATGTACCTACTTGAAATTGATTCCCAATAAGAGGTAAAATGTAATGCTTAAAAGAGATTTTTTTTTTAACTTAACATCGTTTTATGTTTGTTATTCAGTTGCAAAATTGATGAATAATAGAGAGAAGACGAGAAAAGAACAGAAGAAAGGAAAACCGACCTCTTCATAGATGCAAAAGGTTCTCGACGAAGCAATTGCCTCTGAGTAAAAAGATTCATCCAATAAGGTTGAAGAGAACCATTGACGACCAATTGTAGGTGCCTGCAAGAATAGTTATTGTGTTGAATAAAGATCATACGAGCATGTACTCGAGAAAGAATTACCATTAATGCAGCTACCTAAATGAATTTCAGCAATATTTATTACAGGACAAGAGAGCAATAGCTAATGGAAAACGGATGTCGTTAGCTGATCTAACTAAAGATTCTGCTTATTAATGCAACGAAAATTCTACCTGTGGGTAGTCAATGCCATACGTGATATTGACACACGAATAAGGGAATGCTGCTACAAATGAATCATTTTTCAGCACATGAACTGGTTCATCAAGATGCGGTGCTAATTTTTCACAACTTTGACCAACAGAATCTACAGCCACCTTTAATCCGGCTTGACCGATTGCCTCCGCCCATTCTCTTGCCGACCCATCAAAGATAGGAACCTGGCGATTACGTTTTGTCCGAAATGAAACAATAAATCAATTTCAACTTCTTTCGTTCATTCTAGGAGATCACAAGTCACAACTATCATTACAGAAATCCGAACTATTCTACTTCCGTAAATCTTAGTAGACCGATTATACTCGCCATCCAAAAGCCCTAATTATTGAAGTAAACCTCTTTCAAGTAAACCAAATAAAACACACAAACAGTAGAAAACCCTAATTGGAACAGAGGCAGCCATTAAGCAATCATTCGGTAACATAATATATCAAAATTAATTGGTAATGAAACCCTAGCAATCACCTCAACAGAAGTATCACAATCGCCGGAGCTCTGAATCTCGATTCGACAGTTATCCACACCAAAGGCCTCCAGAGCGGAGAGCAAGTGCTCCACCGTTTGAACGCTGTACCCACCGCTCGAAAGCGTAGTGCAGAGGGGAGATTCTTTCACGGCATGATCAATTGACGCCGGAATAACATTCGACCGGAAAATGAAGCACCGGCCGACGCGAGCGGCGGCCGGTAGAATCTTCACGGTGGATATGACGCCTGAGTGGAGTCCCGGTCCGGTTCTCTCTATGCAATTCGCTACAGTTTGCTGTAGCTTGCCCGTCTGCAAATAGGAGCAAGGATTATCAGTTCATGTGCGCGAAAACTTTGCGTGTATGAGTGTGTGTGTGTGTATGGGGTGAGGGATTACGGTTTTCCAGGAGATGACGGAGGAGTGCTTGAGTGATTTCACGGCGGCGGCGGCGGCGGCGAGGCTCATCGATTCGCCAGTGGGGGTGCTGGCTGAGAATTTTTCGCCGGAAACTTTTTGGGCTGTTTTGTAATTTTTTAAAAAGTCATAACAAAATTCCAAATATTTTTATTGTTTTCCTAAGTATTTACTTGATTTAATGGTTAATTACAAATTAATAATTGATAATAATATTTATTTGGAATATATTTGTATATAATAAAAAAATATATAAAGAATTTATATATAAATAAAAACTTCTATAGGTTTTTTATTCCAATTTGTTTAGTGGCACGGTGAATATTTAAACATAACAACACATTACAAAAAATATATAAATTACAAAATTTCTAATTTTAATAAACCATTATACATGCAAAAAAGTACTCAATTGCTAATGTCCATGTTTCATTCAATTTTTTTAATTTAAAAAATTCTTTTTTAATTAAGAAAATCATTTTTTTTAATTAATTTAATGAAAAAAAAAAGAATCAAATAAACAAACAAATTCGAGTCACAGTATAAAATTGTTAAATGTTGTAATAAGAAGTCTATTGTAGTTTAATTTGTACACTCGGATTTTGAAAATAGTAGCTTAATTCTTCCACACCGCCAAAACCCTAATTCTCAAATCCCTCCAAAACCCCTCCTCTGAAACCCCCTCTCCCTCCAAGAAATCTCCCCCACACTTCAAAAAATCTGAATTCTATGTCGACGAGCTCCGCATAATATCTGTATCAGTCAATCTAGGGCTTGATTTCGCTGTTCTTAATGTTCAAGCCCTAGGGTTTATCTTCACCAGAACCGCGATTCTTAAGAAAGAAGAGAGAGAAAGGTTGATTATTTATTTGAATTTTCTACTGCTACAAGATGGTTGCTTGGGAAAACGAGGTGGTGATGCGTGACGTCACCAATGCGGGTCTGGTTGTCAGCGACCGAATCGGCCGTGAAATTGCTGGGCATGTGGATCTTGAGGAAGCTTTAGAAGCTTCTAGATACTCTAGTCACCCGTATACGTCTCACCCCCGCGAGGTAAATGGTAATTCGTATTGTTAAACATGATTATTGATTCATATTTGTTTTGCTTTATTATTGATTATTGATTGAATTTGTTGAACATGTTTCTTTCTATTCGTCTGTACGCCGGAATTGTGTGAGTAATTGAGATCGTTATGCATGCTTAGCAATGTGTTGGGGGTAGCCTCTTCAGTTAGGTTTAATTCTAATGTGACTGAGAAAGATAACCGCTGGGTAAAACAAAACAAAAAACAAAGCGCGTATGTTGATCTCAATTGCAAAGTGTGGTTCAAGTAGTGGGTTGTTTTGTCCTTTTTGACTGTGTTCTCTTATGTTACCTTATTATGGGGTTGGGGTTTGATGAGTAACTACGTAAGTGCTTAAAGAGTATGAAATACTGTGGATTTAACTCTATGCACAACAATGATTCCGGTTTCTGGGTAGTGAACTGAGAATTGATTGTGCTCCTTTTGGTAGAGAGAACATGAGACAACATCGTGTAAATGGAAGCAATTGAAGAAGTATAATTTGAAATTGATCTGTCAGAACAGAATTGGCTATCCATCAATTGATTTTAAAATAGTGCGTTCATTTCTGCCGTGAAAACATAACCGTCAGCCCTTATCCCGAGGAGAGGAGACAAAGAAATTGAATTCCAGGAAAGGTGTGAGTTTTATGAGCAGACGAAAGGGAGAGGAGCGAAAAATTGTTGCCTAAATTGTATGATGGGGTTTAAGAAATGACATCTGAAAATGCTGAAGAGGCTCATTTATCCACTATGAAATCTGTTGATAGGACAAAATATTTGAGAAACGGTCTAGCTGAATAGGACTTACTCGTTTAAGTTTTTATACTAATTTTTCACTTTTGTTTGAATGAAGACGTCAGCAGTAGATGCCGGGCAAGTTTGGTGCTAGGGCCTTTTGTTGAGGTATCATAGGGTACAAAAGTAATGTCCAAATACACAGTACTAGTCAATGTTAATTAATATTAAGCAAATGAACAATAAAATGCACAGCGGAATAAAAACCCTATGTGCCCTACAAACGAGTAATATGCAGAAAAAAAGGTAAGAACACGCAGTTCAGAATGTTTCTTTTGTTGGAAAAGTTCTATGAGTGGTATTATTTCACGCTTTGTTGCTAATAGTTCAGAATGTTTCTTTTGTTGGAAAAGTTTTAGTAAGCATAGCCACCAATAACCTAACATCTTTGTCTGCAACCTGCCACGGAGGCTATAATAATAGCCAATGACTTAATAAGGAGAAGCATATGTTTGAGTTGGCATATGCACGTGAAACAGAATTATGGAAAGTAAAAGACCTGTTCTTGCATTTGAACCGGTGCGAAGTATTGTCTGTATAGTTATATTCGTTATATTCGTGACATGTATTACTTTCGTGACATGTATTGCTTTTTGATAATTTGTATACTTGTATTATGAGAAATACCCCTTCCCTTTTTTAATTGAATCAAGTGACTGAAAAAGATTAATTATACATATGAATGCTTATTTTGGACACAAACCCTAAGACGGACTGGTGGGTATTTAACAATAAGTTTTGATCCATTTGAACTTGGTGATGCCCTATGGTTACTTCATATAGTTTTTCTATATTTGTGCAAGTTCTCATTCTTTCTCTTGTTTATGGATCAATATGATTAATTTTTTGTGTGTTTTAGCACAATTTTGACATTTATTTTCTATCACCTCTACTATGTGATTTTAATGACTAACTTCTAATTCTGCATATGATAGCTCCAGGAATCATTGTTGGTTGTCAAGCCTATTCCAATTGATTGCTATTGATCATTTCCAGACACATTTATACTTTCTTAGGAATCTTTATGTCTATAACTTTTATGCTTTTATTTCTATATTGCAGTGGCCTCCTTTGGTTGAAGTTGTGGACACATGGGAGTTGCCCCCAGTGTTAATTGAAAGATACAATTCAGCAGGCGGAGAGGGTACAGCTTTATGCGGTATATTTCCAGAAATACGAAGGGCATGGGCATCAGTAGACAACTCTTTATTTCTTTGGAGATTTGATAAGTGGTAAGAGTGTTTCTTAGTCATTGACATACAAACATAAAACAATTAGTAAATGCTAAATGATCAGTATTTTTATGGACCCTAAGAGAAACTGATATGAAAGTTCTCTGGCGAACAACTTATCTTATCTCATATCTGTTATTTTCATCCTGTGTAAATAGTAGGTTTTCATTAGTGAATTGGGTGGAAGTAATTTTGTGTACCAAATTTATGTACGGCAGCAGTATCTGTTTGATATAGACTAAGAAAGACAGGTTAGGCATGTTTAAGTTATGGAATGTGGTAGTATTGAGGGATTTAAATGATGTTGTATGATATGGACAGTATGTGTTGGGCAGAACTTGTAGGAGAGTGTGGGCGACAGATTAGATTAGTTGAAGCTCTGGAGTTAAACATCTGTAGCCATTGACACTACTAAAATGGTTTTCCGATTCAGTCCATAGTAATTGTTTAGGCCTATCTCTTCTTGATGTTTGTTATTTATAAAGTTTAACTGTTTGCTTCTGTCTTGGTTTTGAAGACTAAAAATTATGTCTCGACCCAGAAGATTGTCATACATTCTTAACTATGTATTCCAGCACATGCTTCATAATCTTGATTTAATTCTTCATTATTCCCTGACCTAAGAAAATGCTGCTTTGTTGACGTATTGAGTGTTTAGTGAAGACCTCCTTATTTTGGTTTATTTCATTATGTCTTCTGCCATTTTGAACAGTTTCTGGAACTGAACAACCAGTTTGCTTGATCTTCTGTCATTTATGGTATTCAAGTGCTTCAGAATATATTGTGCTTAAGCAGACTTTCATATATTTTTCGTACTGTGTTGATATTCTTTCTAGCATCTATCTCTTCCCTATGGGCCTACTCCTTTTGCCTAAAGAAAAGAAATATTGTTCTGTCCTTTACTTCGTCTCACTTCCTGCCTTGCACTGCAGTGATGGCCAATGTCCTGAATATAGTGGGGAAGAACAAGCTATCTGTGCTGTTGGTCTGACAAAAGCCAAGCCTGGTATATTTGTTGAAGCCATTCAGTATCTTCTAGTTTTGGCAACTCCTGTTGAGGTATATTAATCTTGCCTCCTTATTCATGTTTCTATCACATGTTTGTTGTCCATTCTCATGACTCATGTTGCAAATCAGTATATAAAGGGGTTCCAGCTCAGGCTCCTTTCACATTTTACTGCTTGTAGTAACGAACTACTACTGGAGGGATTTAAATATGACCATTTAAAGTAGAATGAATCCCTCTTAGCGGACCCTTGGCTACTGGAATTTTGCCATACAGGGTGTGGCAGTTGAGCCACTTTGCCCAGCTGCTCAAATTGAAAATCGATTAGCTATGGACCTATTATTAATTTTCTTTTATCCTCTATTATTTTCCACGCCGAGGCTGTTCCTAGTTTCATAATAGCCTATCTGGTGTTCTTCAGCTCTAGATGTCTGGTTTTATTGGGGTTTATGTCATGGTTCTATTAGTTTTAGTAGGTTTAGGGGTTAAGTCATTAATAGTTGCCTTGCTGTTCAGTAGATGGTTCCCCTGATGGATTACTACTCTTGAAATGTATTCGAAATAATATGACAATGTTTGTAGTGATAATTTTTATCGAATCACAGTTTTTGAAGCTTTCCGGTGGTTGTGCTAAACCTTTGTGATTAAATGAGTTTTTGATGTGGTGACAATGTTTCTTTCTTTCTTTTTTTTTTTTTTTAGCATTCAGCTATCCAGATATAAAAGACCAACCATCCAAGTGTAAAATGAAATTAACCTGCTAGAATGTTGTATATTGGCTGTTATCTGGTATCTCATCGGTTGGTAGAAATATACACAAGATATGATGGATCTAATGAACTTACTGTGAGGTATATGTATGGCCTAGCCTACTCATGAATGGGTTTCTCTAAAATGACACATGATGATTGGGACCGGATAATCTATGTTCAGCTATGGGTGTAGAGAATATGTCGAAACATCGATAAATTTTTGTCTGTCTGTGAACATTGTTGATAGTTTTGTAATATCAGGTGGTGATGTTACTATGCTAAATATACTTTATTTTAATCAGGATTCATGTTCTTGCTTCAATTTCCTTTTCTTTAGCATTCTGCTTAGGGGTTGATCCTCCACACTAGGTCCAGGGTAGACTCTAGCCCACAACTGCCCGCTTATTTTTGCGATACATGATGGCCTACGGAGCCCATATCGCAAATCCCATATGCACGTCTAGCCTCACCCGATTGCTATTTTGGGCATACTATGTTTTAGTTTATGATACATTAATTAAAATGTACTACTATTTACTTGATTACTGCTATTTTCTGCGAGTACTCCTAAAAGTATTTTCTGGGTATGCATCCACCAAACGTCCGTAACCTTTGGCCCACCCTCTGCAAGTCCTGGCTCTGCCACTGGTTGTGGTGGTACTTACATTAGCTCATTCTGACCGCTTGCTAGTTGTATGCAATTTTTTTTCTCTGGTTGCTTGCTCGTATCTCATTGGTAAATAATCCATTCAAGTATTAATGAATAAACTATTTGTATACATAGCAATTGTGAAAATATATTTGTTAAACTTTTCGAACCTCCATAAACTTTTCAACGAGTGTGAATGGCTCATGTTGATACTATGCTGTTAGGATCTGTTCTTGTGCTTCAGTATTAAAGGAATTGCTTACGCTATGTTCTATTTCTGAATGAGTTTATTTATCTTTTTCCATGCAATGTTATGAAAAGTTAAGAATCTTTTTCTTCCTCTTTCGTCTGACAAGTATACTTTCTATCAATCAGCTGATACTTGTTGGAGTATGTTGTTCTGGAAGAAGTGATGAAACTGATCCATATGCAGAGGTTTCCCTTCAGCCACTGCCAGAATATACCATTTCATCTGATGGGGTGACTATGACTTGCATCACTTGCACCGATAGGGGTCATATATTTCTGGCTGGCCGTGATGGTCACATTTACGAATTGCAATATACGACTGGTTCAGGTTGGCAAAAGCGCTGTCGAAAAGTGTGCCTAACTGCTGGTCTAGGAAGTGTTATTTCAAGGTAGGTTTCCCTTTCCTTATGTTTGCCACAAAGCTCATGCTGCTTTATGACTGTCTTACCTAATTTGTGAATCGGGGATGATTAATGGCTTTTATTTTCAGTTGTTGTCTAGCTATGTTTTTGATTGTTGGGGTCACAGATATAAAAACCAACAATTTTATGTTCTTATAATCTTGTTGGCGACTGTATGGGATTTTTGCGTTGCTTGATCTATCATGTTTGAAATCTTCTCACGTCTGACTCCCCCCCACTTCAGGTGGGTTGTGCCTAATGTTTTTAAATTTGGAGCTATGGATGCAATTGTTGAGATGGTTGTCGATTCTGAGAGGCATGTGTTATATGCACGTACGGAGGAGATGAAAATACAAGTCTTCTCTCTTGGACCAAATGGGGATGGACCACTCAAGAAAGTGACAGAAGAGAGAAACTTAATCACTCAGAGGGAGTCAAACTATGGCGGCAGACAACAAGCAGGGTCAGGGGCTCCTCGACCAACCAAATCTTCTATAGTTTGCATATCACCCATATCTACCTTAGAATCAAAGTGGCTGCATCTTGTTGCTGTTTTATCAGACGGTCGGAGGATGTACCTCTCCACTGCTCCATCTAGTGGGAATAACGGTGCTGTTCGAGGTCTTGGCACAAATAACCGGAGACCAAGTTGCTTGAAAGTTGTAACCACAAGACCCTCTCCTCCGATAGGGGTGAGTGGCGGGATAGCTTTTGGAGCTCTATCTGTAGTTGGAAGATCTCAGAGTGATGATTTATCTTTGAAGATCGAATCGGCGTATTATTCTTCCGGAACTGCTGTCCTTTCTGATTCATCTCCTTCCGCTGTTTCGTCTCTTCTGATTGTGAATAGGGATCCTAGCACACAATCTGGTAGCCTTGGGACAGGTGCAAGGGGTTCTCGTGCACTTCGAGAATCAGTATCGTCTCTTCCTGTCGAAGGCAGAATGCTTTTTGTGGCAGATGTTTTACCCTTGCCGGATGCAGCAACCATTGTGCAGTCTCTATATTCGGAACTAGAACTGTGTGGATTTCATAACTCATGGGAGGCTTGTGAAAAGACTTCAACCAAACTTTGGGCTAGAGGTGATCTTTCTACTCAACATATATTACCTAGAAGAAAGATAGTCATCTTTAGCACAATGGGCATGATGGAAGTAGTTTTTAACAGACCAATTGACATTCTGAGGCGATTGTTAGAATCTAACTCACCGAGATCGTTACTTGAGGACTTCGTCAACCGTTTTGGTGGTGGAGAAGCAGCAGCAATGTGTTTGATGCTTGCTGCACGCGTAATGAACACAGAAACCTTCATAAGCAATGTTGTTGCTGACAAGGCAGCTGAAGCTTTTGAGGACCCTAGATTCGTTGGAATACCACAATTAGAAGGAAGTGGTGCATTGTCAAACAATAGAACTGCAGCTGGGGGGTTCAGCATGGGTCGGGTTGTTCAAGAGGCCGAGCCTGTTTTTTCAATGGCTCATGAAGGCCTCTGCCTCTGCTCATCAAGGTTACTTTTGCCGTTGTGGGAGCTTCCTGTTTTTGTCATCAAAGGTGGGTCAGGATCTTCTGATGCTATATCTGAAGATGGGGTCATAACTTGCAGACTTTCTGTTGGGGCTATGCGTATCCTTGAAGACAAAATTCGCTCTCTGGAGAAGTTTTTGAGGTCTAGAAAGAATCTAAGGCGTGGACTCTATGGCCGCGTGGCTGGTCTTGGAGACATAACTGGTTCAATTTTGATAGGAACTGGATCAGATCTAGTTTCCGGCGACAGAAGTACTGTTCGAAATCTATTTGGTTCATACCCCAGGAATGGTGACTCCAGTGAGGGTGGATCGTCAAATAAAAGGCAGCGGCTTCCGTATAGTCCTGCTGAACTGGCTGCTATGGAGGTATACTTCAAACTCTTAGGACTTGTCAAGTATTAATATACCTAAGCCATGTTAGTGGATAGCTAATTGGGTTGTTTTCCAGGTACGAGCTATGGAGTGTATCAGGCAGTTGCTTCTTAGATGTGGGGAAGCCCTCTTTTTGCTCCAACTTCTATCACAACATCTTGTGACACGCTTGATTCAAAGTTTTGATGCAAATACTAGGCAAGCTGTAGCTCAGTTAACGTTCCACCAATTAGTTTGTTCAGAAGAGGGAGATCGACTTGGAACAAGGCTTATATCTGCTTTAATGGAGGTACTAAAGATACTGATGTTCATCACCTGTTCACGTATTCTCACTTATTGCTCTTCGTACTTGAGATCAAAATCATTATCATGATCTTTCTTTTCTTCCCCACTCCCGCTCTTTCTTTCTCTTGAGCTCATGTACACTCTCTTGATATGTGATGTACATTATCATACCTTGGTGCAGTACATCATTGTCTGTTTATGAATCTGTCTCACATAACCTATCATCCATTTATCCAGTATTATACTGGTCCTGATGGCAGGGGAACTGTAGATGATATTAGCAATAGACTACGGGATGGTTGTCCAAGCTATTACAAAGAGAGTGATTACAAGTTCTATGTGGCTGTTGAATATCTTGAGAGGGCTGCTGTTACTTCTGATTCAGAAGAAAGGGAAAATCTGGCTCGGGAGGCTTTCAACAATCTAAGCAAAATTCCAGAATCTGCTGATCTACAAACTGTCTGCAAACGTTTTGAGGATTTGAGGTTTGTTAAATAAGACTGGTATTTCCAACTTGGTTCAATTATGTTAATCATGACACAATTCGTGAATTTGCAGATTCTATGAAGCTGTGGTTCGACTGCCTCTGCAGAAGGCTGAAGCTGCTGATCCAGCAGGTGATGCTTTCAATGAGCAGATAGACGCAGGGATCCGAGAACACGCTCTTTCTCGACGTATGCAGTGTTATGAAATAATCACAAATGCTCTACGTTCTCTTAAGGGCGAAACTTTGCGGAAGGAATTTGGATCTCCTATCAGGCCTGTTTCCCAATCAGTCCTCGATCAATCCTCTCGCAAAAAGCACATATGCCAGATTATTCAACTCGGTGTTCAATCTTCATATAGATTTTTCCATGAGTATCTGTATCGAGCATTGATTGATCTAGGTCTTGATGATGAGTTGTTGGAATATGGGGGTCCAGATTTGGTCCAATTTTTGCAAGATGCTGGACGTGATCCTTCTCATGAGGTTTGACTCCTTTAATAATTGATTTTTTTCTTCCGGAATGTAGTATAATTGATGCTTTGCTGAATGTCAGTCCAACCTGAGGTCTGTTTTGAATACTAAAACATTGTCTTCGATGTATCCTTTTCTTCTTGTAGGTCCGGGCTATTTCCTCGATTGGATCCCCAATTTCTCCCATGAGCCAGTCTAGAGTGCCTGTTGCATCTTATCAGATAAAGTATTTCGAGCTTCTGGCGCGTTACTATGTCTTGAAGCGTCAGCACATTCTTGCCGCTCAAATATTAGTGAGGCTAGCCGAAAGGCGCTCAACTGAAGCTGGGGATACCCCAACAATTGAACAAAGGTTCTTTTATTTATTTTTTGTTCGAGCGAATGTCTATCAAGTGATATGTTGCTTGCATGATTTGATTTGCTAAGTTTCATTATGCAAACTATTGATGTATAATATTGCCTGTATTGAAATTTTGTAATTTGATGTCGATGGAACTTCGGCTTCCTGTATTATCTCTAATTATATTTTGAGCTAACAGTTTGTGGCCTTACATTGCTGTGATGCAGGCGGCAATACCTGAGTAATGCTGTTCTGCAGGCGAGGAGTGCCACTGAGACAGGCAATGTTTCCATGCGCGGTGCTATTGACAATGGGCTTCTTGATTTGCTTGAAGGTAAGCTTACTGTTCTTCAATTCCAGATGAAGATCAAAGAGGAATTAGAAGCTATGGCTTCAAGATCGGAAGCTTCTCCCATGGGGTCGAACTCTACCCCAAATGGTTCATCACCTGACAATGGTCAATCCAGCGATGCCAATTTTGTTCACGCGGTTCGAGAAAAGGCAAAGGAGTTATCAGTGGATTTGAAGACCATCACTCAGTTGTACAATGAGTATGCTGTTCCATTCGAACTCTGGGAGGTTTGTAATCTTGTTTTGGTGATAATTGTTTTACGAATTACGACATGAATTTATGTGATCCATATGCAGAAAGTGATCTAACCCCATCTTATCTTTAGACCATTTGGGAATTTATCTGATTTTGTCTAAAGTTGCTTTACAAAAGCAAGTTCTCAAGTATTATTTTATTTGTGATCTAGCTTGGAGAACATACACGTATGTCTGTATGCAATTGCCTTTCTAGCTTAACTAAGAGAAACCTTCGTACTTCATTCTTGGATATCTGTAATCACTTCCTTCGTCACTACACATTGTTACACTTGGTTCGATTCATGATGAATTCTTTTCTTTCATTTTTCATGATGGATTTCTTTTTTTCAGATATGTCTAGAAATGCTGTACTTCGCAAGCTATTCGGGTGATGCTGACAGCAGCATTGTCAGAGAGACATGGGCTAGACTCATCGATCAAGCTCTCTCAAGGGGCGGTATTGCTGAAGCTTGTGCTATGTTGGCAAGAGTTGGTTCCCATGTTTATCCGGGCGATGGAGCTATGTTACCATTAGATACTCTCTGTCTTCATCTCGAGAAAGCTGCACAGGTGAAAAAAATCAAATAATATTATATTGTTTGCCGGTTCGTTTTACTACCTCTTAAAAAAACATATAATTAGTTAACTATCATATGCTTTTTAAATCTTTATAGGAGCGAGTGGTTTCGGGTGCTGAGCACGTTGGAGATGAAGATATTCCCAGGGCTCTTCTTGCTTCTTGCAAGGGTGCAATAGAACCTGTGCTGAATACTTACGATCAGTTGGTTTCGAACGGAGCTATTTTGCCTTCTCCGAGTTTGAGATTACGTATACTTCGGTCAGTGTTGGCAGTACTTCGTGAGTGGGCAATGTCTGTATTTGCACAGAGAATGGGTACAAGTACTGCTGGAGCTTCTCTGATTCTTGGTGGACCGTTTTCACTCGGTCAAACTACGGTTCTAAATCAAGGTGTTCGCGATAAGATCACTAGTGCAGCAAATAGGTTCGTTACGTTTCCTAATTTTTCGATTATTGACACTAGTAAGTTCAGAATTTTCAAAAAAAATTACGAACTTTTTTCGGAAGTTATGTTCCAAAAATTTCCCAAACAATTTGAGAATAAGAATGAAATAAAGTTATTCCTAAAGTCGGACATATTTGAATTGATAGTAAGTTAGGAAACTCTTAATGAATAATGCCATTCCACCGCCTCCGAAAATTAGTGATGGAATGAAATATATGACTGATTTCTATATATTAATATATCTCTCATTTCGATTTTGCAAAATTTTGAATTTTCTTTGTGGATCGGACTGGGAATAAGTTTAATTTTAATTCATCTTTAATTATTCAGGTATATGACTGAGGTGAGGAGACTACCCCTTACGCAGAGCCAAACGGAGGCTGTCTACAGGGGTTTCCGTGAGCTCGAAGAGTCACTCTTGAGTCCTTTCCCTTTCGAGCGGTTGTAGGTTCGTCTTTTTTTTTCTTTTTTCTTTTACAGATTTGTTGTATGAACAGCACTTGAATAAGATAATTCTTGTTACTGTGTAAATGACACTCATATAATTTCATTTGTATCTCTTCTAGTTTGAGTGTCTAATATTTTTCTATTCGTATATTATCTGTCATTTATTTACACATTAGCATGTGTATAACTTAAGGGTGGGTTTTAGAATTACGCCGATTCGATTTTTTCTATAAATTTGGAACAAAATTTTCGTTCTCAAATCTCGAAAATCAAAATTTTGTATATTTTGTGGATCTTTTGGATTTTGTTTTTATTTTAATTTCCGAAAAAATCTGAGAAATTTGAATTTTCCCAATGGAAAGTACACTTATAATATGGATATTCTTATGTATTTATAGATCATACACGCGGTAAATTACACCATGTGTTTTTAAATCACGGATTTACTATAAATAACCCACTAAGCACACATACATATGGAAGTGTGTGTTATTATGTGTAGATCAACACATGGTGAATTTCAGTAGATTCTACAAAACCGTATTTACAACATAGCTTCATATCTTTTTTTTTTTTAAATGCTTAATTGGATACAATTCCTCTAAATTGCACCAATTATTAAATATGAAAGGTCGGCAGATAAGCACTAGATTAGCATCAAAAGTACCTTCATTCATCGTCAAGAATATGGCCTCCAACTTGACCCAAAAAAGTCAAAGGGGACAAAATTTGAAAAGATGAGAGTTAAAAAAAAAAAAAGGAGTTTAAACACGAATCACACGAATTGTATTGTCGGAAATTAATAAAAACTTGTTGTATAAATAAATGAATCTTTTTATTTATTATTTTCTTATTAAAATATTGACCGACGGTTACACACACATGAAATACCCACCTACCTTATCCACCCAACTTTCAGGGCTTTCGAAATGCACTCTCTCGGCCAGCTAACGCCAACTATATTTGTACCTGCTAACTTTGCAAAAATTGCTAATTGACCCCTCAACTGCATCTTTTGATGACTAGCCAATATTGGTAAAGTAGTTCATGATTTTGTATTTAATTGGGTTGAGTTGGTTGATCATCGATCTGATTTAACTTTTCTACTTTCGTTAAATTTTTTTTTTAAAATAATCATCTACATGAGTTTCGTGGGTTGGATAACTTTTACGATTGCAAAAGTGGGTGTATTATCCACATGTTTTTTTTTTCGGGCAACTACTAGTTTATATAGATATATATGAGACGATTATAATCACTGATCAAATCGGTTTTTGGGTAAAATCTTATGATTATCGAAAGAAAAGTAAACGGCTTTTCACCTACGGAACCTCTTAACACCATACAAGGTTCGTTATTGAAACAATTCTTTCTAATTTGATCTCTTACTAAATTTACACGAACACATAGATTGAGCAATTAATTAAGACCTCGTTCACTTACCTATATTAGATTAGATCAGATTGGATTAAATCCTTATTGATTAAATAAGTATTTAATTAATAACACGTTTTACTGACTTGGATTACATCTTGTATTAAATTTGTTAGATTATGTTCTTGTTATCATATGCCAATTGTTTGTAGAATTTTTTATTTAACAAAATTAAGTTATTACTTTAAGGATAAAATTGTAATTTCTAATTACCCCGTACAAAATTAATCGTAAGGAAAAAGAGTGTTACTAATTTTATGAAGTAGTAGTAGTGGTAACATTTAATTGCGGGTTTCTCCTTTAATAGCGGAACTTAGCACTTTGAAAGAAAAAATCAACTTTGTAACTGGAAAACTAATTTTTTGGGATTGGAAACCAACATAAATTGGACGGATTCTTTTCATCTATAATACGTAATAAAGTTGATTCTCATATATATATATATATATATATATATATATATATATATATATATATATATATATATATATATATATATATATATATATATTTCAGTTATAGATCCAAAATTTTTGGATAAATTTATATCAATTTATATATTTAAATTTACAATGAAAAATATTGTTCCAAAATCGGAGATTTTCGAATCAGAATGAGTAGAATTCAAAAAATCTTTTCCAATTTTCACCCTTACATATGCTTCAATCCAATGCAAAATAAATGTAGATGGATCAAACATACAACAATTGCTAAGAAAATGTTGATAATCTCATGAAGAATAATAAGGATTTTCATTTTTGAAAAAAAGAGAGAAAAAGAAAGTAGAGTTACAAGGGAAGGGTATTTAAGTCAAGTAGCTGATATCCAGACAAATCCGGGTTAGGTATCCAAACCCGGAATACAGAAACCCCCTTCTTCGTCAATTTCACCGTTACGCTCTAAAAAATAGTTTGTATTAAGGAAAAAAAAAAAGCCCTAAATTAAAAATAAAAAAATTAATAAAAAGCTGAAAATAGTGCAAAAAATAAATTTCCTCTCCGAAAATTTTCAACTTTATCAGCGTTCTTCATCCTCGCAGATTCTCTTTCCTAATTTTGCCTACTCTCTCACTAGATCTGCTTTCACTCTCGAAATCTTGATCAATTACATATATATTAGTATATACGTATACATACGAGCGAGCGAGTGTTGTACACACACATCTCTAATCGTGATGAAAAAATAGACTATAATTTTTCAATTTTTTTTTTATTTTTCCTCGAGCGTTTTTTTTTTTTTTTGCTTCTTCTTCTATGGCGGATGCACTATCTGTGATTCCTGCGGCGGTTCTCCGCAATCTCTCCGATAAGCTATACGAGAAGCGCAAAAATGCTGCCCTGGAGGTGTGCGCATATTGCATAGGCAAATTTACAGTATATATATATTTTTTTTATTTTTTAAATTGAATATATTTGGTGTTTGAATTTGTATTATTATTGTGATTTCCCGACTGTTTGGGCTTGGTTTTCCTGGGCTGTGTTTATCGTTATAATTATTGTTCTTACTGTGTGGGGGTTCTGCTGGATCTAGGTGGAAGGGATAGTGAAGCAATTATCAGGGACCACAGACCAAGATAAAATCAATGCAGTGATCAATTTGTTGATAAATGAATATACGTACTCGCCCCAAGCGAATCATCGTAAAGTATGTTTTTTTTTCCCCTTTAAATTCCTTTGTTGTTTATGGAAGGAGGTTTTGTTGCTTTATTTTCTATGTTCATCTGCTCGAGTATCCGAATGTTAATAATCCGAATTGGAGTGTTATATTGGGGAAAAATATATTTTGTCTTATTTTGTCTCGTTATGGTTCAGGGGGGTTTGATAGGATTGGCGGCAGCTACAGTGGGTTTGACCTCAGAAGCATCACAGCATCTTGATGTAAGAATGCTGCCTTGGTTTTATTTGGAGAGATACTTGTGATGATGTCTTCATTAAAATCACCTTGAATTTTCCCTGTTTAAGAGTATTTGTTTTGTATATCATGAGGTGTGAAAGTTTTTGTTTTCTTTTGCTTCGAATACAAGAAGGTATGCATAAAATGGGGGAGGAAGGGGGGTGGGGGTTGATGACAATTGTTAACTGGTTACTATGAACGTAAGATGCAATGCATAAAAGCTTAAAGGACTTCAGGCTACCGAAATAACAGTATTAAAGCAGAAGTTATCTGCTGACCGACATACTTGGAGCTGACTTTATCTGCACTAGTGTTGCAACTTGCAAGTAGTGTTTAAAAATCAGTTGGGTAGTTGAACTATGATTTTTTTTAGGGAATGGATCAATGATTATGAGATTTGTATTATGCGTTTATAAGATGTTTACTACAAGGAAAATAAACGTTGATGTCTTGTGCATATTTGAGGATCATGTGTTAGAGGATCAAGGTGATTAAAGTGTGCATTTGTCACTCCAGATACTATCTTTAATGGGTTACACTGATATCACGACAACATGGTACGAGATAGTGTTAAACCTGCATATAGAGACCTTGTAGAAAGAAAATTGTTTGCTTGTTGACTAATATGATACTACATCTGATGACTCTTGGTCTGAGAATAGCAGAAATCGCTTTGCATCCTCAAAACAGTACCATGAAGAAGTTTTATCTCATGTATTTTCTGTTCTGTGAACTAATTTTTAATTGTTAATACTTAATACTGATTATATATATTCCTCTGAAAAAAAAATGAGATGCATGTTCATGAGATTGTTTATGGTATATTGCTTCTATATATCTGCTTTCCAATATATTATTGGTGCATTTTCTTGGTATATTTCTGTCAAGTTCGTATTTTCTTATTGATGCATTTTCCCTTGTCTGGGGGTTCCAGCAAATAGTTCCACCAGTGTTGAATTCCTTTGGTGATCAAGATAGCAGAGTTCGTTATTATGCCTGTGAAGCATTGTATAACATTGCGAAGGTGGGGAACAAGACTTGTGTTATACTCCTTTTCCCTCTTTGTGGTTGGGTTTCATTCCTGGTTATTTTCAGGTCGTGAGAGGCGATTTTATAGTGTTCTTCAACCAGATATTTGATGCGCTATGTAAGCTTTCAGCAGATTCAGATTCCAATGTACAGAGTGCTGCTCATCTTTTGGATAGACTTGTGAAGGTACGATTTCTTTTATCTGCGAAACCATAAGGGTATATCTATGCACTCTAACATATAGTGCTAGGAATAACTTCTTTCTTTTTGCTATTTTTTTGAATGCAGGACATTGTCACTGAAAGTGATCAATTTAGGTCTGTCATCTCTTCTTCTCTCCTAGTATCAGTTCTCTGCAATTAGTTTTCAAATTGAATCCAAATTTTTATCTATTTTACACAACTTGCTATTGCTGGCCTTTTAACTGTTGCAGCATTGAAG